CACTCTATTAAATAATGACTATAAAATGTTGGCCTCCATTTTAGCTAAAAGACTGAAAAATGTTTTAAATGACATTATACATGAATCTCAAAACGGCTTCATGCCTGGACGCAACATTTCTGATAATATTCGATTAGTGTTAGACGTAGTTGATTACAAAGATCTTATCCCTGGTGACCCAATTATTCTGTTTTTAGATTATCAAAAGGCCTTTGATACAGTTAGTCACAACTTAATTTCTGACACATTGTCCTTTTTTAACTTTGGTAACTCTTTCATTAAAGCCTTTAAGACACTTTATAGAGATAACAGTTCCATAAAACTTCTATATGGCACATCTAGCCGATTTAATATCAATAAAGGGGTTCGTCAGGGCTGTCCGGCCTCCCCTTACATTTTTCTGCTTGTTGGCCAAATTTTAAACTGTTTAATTAGACAGAGCTCATTTGAGGGAATTAAAATATTTGATTGAGAACTTAAAATTTCACAACTTGCTGACGATACTACAGTGTTTTTAAGAAATTCTAATGAAATTCCTGTAGCTCTTTCTGTTATAACTAAATTCTCTAACATTTCAGGGTTGAAACTCAGTCTAAAAATTGTGAAATCCTTCCCTTATATACAACTGCTGTTACTGAAAAGTGTAATATCTATGTAAAAAACGCCATAACGTACTTAGGAATTAAAATATCCCCTCACCACACCAACATGGGTAATTTTACTGTTTGTGAATCTATTAAAAAGAAATTTAACAGTTGGTTAGCTAGGGATTTAACTATTTATGGTAGAGTACTATTAAGCAAAGCAGAAGGAATATCAAGGTCTCATATCTTTTCGCATCACTTGATGTTAGTAAATCACTCTGTTATAATCTGGATAAAATTCTCTTCAAGTTTATATGGAAAAATAAAGTCTATAAAATAAAACAATCTGTTCTTTCAAACTCTTTAGCTGAAGGAGGTTTAAATGTTTTGACTTCTACTGTCTTTAATCAAATGTTAAAAAATAATTGGATTAAAAGATTTCTAAAAAAAAAAAAAAAATCAAAATTCCATGTTTAATATTTTCCCATATCATCTGTTCAGTAAACTGGGGGTCTAATTTTTTTATTGTGTTGTCCTTTCTCAGTTGAAAAACTTCCAGTCAAATTAGCCAAATATCATCAGCAGGTTCTGCTATGTTGGAGTTTTCTGTATAAAAACCATTTTATACAGGTTAGAAGAACCTGTTAGAAGAACAATGCATCTTATGGAAGCATTGTTCCATAAGATGCATTACTGCATCTTATGGAACAATGCTTATATAATACATAAAAACAAATCATTATTTCTTCATAAGTGGGTTGACAATAATATTAATTTGATAAATCAGTTACTTGACAGCGATGGTGAGTGGTATACTTATGAGCATTTTATGAACAACAATAACATAGAAATATCTCAAAAGAATTTGAAATGATTATTAAAGCTGTTCCTCATAGTTTGCTCTGTTTAGCACAAACCAAACATCCAAACAATTTAAACCTTCATGACTCAATTTCAATTGAAGGAACTAATATAATGAATAAGAAATTTACAAACAGGTTTATCAGAACTCACTTTCTCCACTCCCATAAGTAAACATTGATGAGATTATCTGAGCAAAAAATAGTGGAGTGCAATCTTTTTATTGCCTCATAAATATATAATTACTAATAGGATGAAAGAATTTTTATTTAAGATTTTACATAGATATTATCCAGTTAAAAATAACATTTGTCGCTTCTCTCCAGATGTCAGCAACAACTGCTCTTTTTGTCACTGTGAAGGCGAAAGTATTGAACATTTATTTGTGGAATGTTCTCACACTACATTTATTTGGTCGGGTTTGCAAAAACTCCTTACAGAAAAAAATCGGAAAAAATATTGCTTTATCAAATTTACATATTTTACTCATCTTTAACATGTAGTGAATTTAACTTTTGTCTCTCTAGACTTTAACAGCAACGCCCTGAATGTCTTTAATTATTCTTTACTATTTGTTTTTATTATATTTTAATATTTGTCATTGAGTTTACGTCCATATTCCTCCATATTACGTTCATGTTATTTGTTTGAAATAAAGTTATTTAAAAAAAATGATATGCTGACTCATACATGGACTATGGACTCATAGACCATAGACATAATATAAGGATTTGCTTATATTATGTCTATGGATGTCTATGTGCTTACTGACGCTGACGTCATAACTGGTTGCCGGAAGTCCTACTGTATTGGCAGTGAAAGATGGCCGGGTTACTAAAGAAGGTACGTGTAGAGGTCATGTTCCTTTTAGTTTGTTAGGGATGAAGGCAGCGGGTGAAACCCAGTAGAATATCAGGCAACAACGTATGATGACTACTCGGCAGCAGCCAGGCTGCTGCTGTGCGAACGAGCCGTGAGCTTGAGAAGGAGCTTCTCAAGCTAGCATTACTCAGACAGTTTGATAGGTTAACTTAACCTATATTAAAACATCTATCTATCTATGGTTCATTCTCCATCATACATCATAGCTCTATGATGCAGGAGGTGGAAAAGCGCTGACAGTGCTAAAAGGGTTGAAGAGGTGGAATAAGTTTGATCTATCAAGCGTCTATGAATAACTTTAATCGAACAATAAATGGACAGGTTACATTTCTATTTGATACACAAACTTTTATATCAGGGAAACTGATATTTGTCCCGTTTGTTTTATTAACGGCCACATTAATAATAATAATTTAAAAAAACTTCTGTTTGAATTGAGTTCACTTAACATTCTGAATCATAACACACCTGCATTTCCCCTGTTCTTTCTAGATCAGTGTTTCTCCATCCTGGTCCTCACCGCCCCTGTCCTGCATGTTTTAGTTGTTTCACTTCTGCCACACCTGAATTGCATCTCTGGGTGATTAACAGGCTTCTGCAGTACTTGATGGTCATGCAATCATTTGAATCAGCTGTTCTGGAATAGAGGCACATCTAAAACATGGAGAGCAGGAGGGGGGGGGGGGGGGGGACCAGGGTTGAGAAACACTGTTCCTATTCACTTTCTCTTTCCTTTATTGTACTTAGACAAAAATAGTCGAACTGGATAACTCCTGGGCTCAGTTTGCCCAATAGTCTGATTTTAGATGTGTTTCTTTGTTCTTTTACTCGCTGCTCAGTGAAAGCTTACCTGATTGCAGGAGATAGTGGGAGTTTGTGGGTTTGTAGAACCTGAACTTACATCATCTCTCCTGTTCCTTTCCAGACCACCGGCCTCGTTGGCCTCGCTGTCTCCCAGAATCCTCATGAGGTGAGTAGGTAACAGTTTGTAATTTCCCAGCTGAAGGTATTCACTCAAAGATTTTCCTCTTTCCCAGCGTCTACGAATTCTTTACGCAAAGATCTTGGCATCACTGCAGACCATGCCACAGGACGCCGCATACAGGAAGTACACAGAGCAGCTGGTTAACAAGCGCTTAGACCATGTGAAAACGGTCAGCAGACCAAGTTCACCATGTCACCCAACAATTATTCAATTTAAAGATGAAGGTTTGATTTGCTTTCTGTTGACAGGAGCCAGATATTGGGAAGCTAGAGAAGAAAATAAATGGCGGACAGATTGAAGAAGTCATCTTCCAGGTAGGAAACAGGAGTAACTGACAGCAAAAGACGCTGGCTGTTCCAGCCAGCAGTCAAACCAAATATTGGTTTCAAGATGTCAAAGAAGCAGGACTGAAACTCAAAGCTTGAAAAGAAAAAAAAGGCAGAAAAGCTATCGGAATGATCAACACAGCAAATCTTTTCCTCTGGGAAGGTTAGGATGCTGCACACAGCAAGTAAGACCATGTGAAAAACATTTTTGATCTTATTTGTGGTTGAAACAGAAAAAATGGATACTGGAACTCCAGCCAGTATCTGATGATGCTGCAGCACATGTTGATCAGTGAAATCCTCAAAGAAACTGAGTTCTCTTTTCTGAGAGCTCAGTTTCTATCAAAACATGAACCAAATGTTTTGATTTGGTTTATAATTCTGGAAATGTTTTGTTTGCTCTACTTGTTTTTTTGTTTTTTTTTAAATCCAGCATGTGTGAGTGATGAATCTGTGCATCTGGGTGTCTGTGCACCCAAATGCACAGATACCAGACCTGTATAATATCAATTCTACGATATTTATCGATTAAAAAAAAAAAAATTCTCATAAAGTATCAATTTTTCCATCCGCGACTATGGACATTAAATCCTACTTCCACATGTACATTAAAAATTACATGTAATGAAAGTTACAGTTAATTAAATGTAATGAAACGGATAAATTCCATTATCTAAGTGAATAAGACAAGTTTTTTTTTTCTGCATAACCAAATACACTAAGCTACACAATTAACATTTAATTAACAAAGCAAATGTATAACAAAACATTTATTACACCATCAGTTCAATTACTTTAATTCAAGTCTATGGAACAGTCACAAAATATCACCAAAATCACTCTGTCCCTCTAAAACATTTCAAAAATTTGTAAAAATGTATTGAATAGTGATTATATATCGTATTGTGAGAATAGTGTATTGCTACTGCTTTAACAGATGGTCTTCTAATTGTATGACGAGGAGTATTTAGAAGGTTTTTAGTACCCAAGGAGCAAAAGTGGAATAACTTACAATTAACTAAAAACATGAGATGATAATCAGAACAAGCGCAGCTTAGAAATGTTGGAGGAGGAACATTGTTCCTTGGTGGAGGCCCGTCCACTAAGGAACAATGGAGCATTCAGTGGGTTTTAAGGCAGCAGCAAACTAAGATTGTTGCTCTGGTGACGGCTCATGTTCTGTGTTCCAGGCAGAGTGTGAGCTGAGTCTGTCCAGGAAGATGGCTGACTGGAAACCATGGGAGCCGCTGGTGGAGGAGCCTCCACCCAACCAGTGGAAGTGGCCCATCTGAAATGAGTTCATCTGTCATTCTGTTGCCTGTGTGTGTGAGAGATTTGCTTCTAATAAAGAAAACGCTAGAAGAAACATTAGTTCCTTTATTCTTAAAGTTAACTCATAGTGTTGTACATGGAAACATCAGTGCCTGTTCCTGCACGTGATCCAGCAAATTTATGACATGTAGTAACATTAAGAAATTCTGATTCTGACAGCAGCACCACTGCTGGCTCCTTCAGGCTTTGGGCCCCTGAGCAGCACTGGTGGCCCTCTGTAACAGCTGCAGCATTATGGGATAGATGGAAGCAAACTCTTTTCCCTGCCGAGCTCTCACCAACTGCACATAGGCCTCCAGGGCCCCCCTGTGGAGAGGACACACATCTTATAATTGATGGGAGCAGAGGAGTTACTGTGACTGCACCTGCAACCTGGCAGTGAATGAATAGAACATTTAAACAGAAAATAAAGAGTTCTAAAATCCAGACTGTTACAGAGTGAGGAGGAACTCTGAGTGTGAGACTGAAGTGCCTCCTGTACTTCCACAAGCTACTAAAGTCAAATGATGACCACAAGAGGTCATCACTGCCCACAAATACAATCCTAGTGAGTCTGAAAAGGTGAATGGTGGAAGAAGAGAGGAGCCCACCTGATGAGGGCGAGTCTGTCTCTCTCAGAGGGGTGATCATCCAGCCACTGGGAATAACGTGCAATGGACCACTCTGCTCTCTGTGGAGGGGCAAGCAAAGTTCTGGATCATCCCAAACTATGTGTGTGTGTGTGTGTGTGCGTGTGTGTGTGTGCGTGTAGACCTGATGAGGTGATCTGAGCTCAGATGGGGCTCTGGTGAAGAGAAAGTGAAGCACGGTGCTGTAGGGGATCAGGTCACCTACTGCAGGACTGCTGGCGATCAGTTCACTGGCCTGAAACAGCAGAGGTCTGAAACACAGTACACACGTTTCTTATGTCACACACACACAGTGTCCAAAACTTCACCAATGAAAAGCCTCAATGAAAAGCTGAAAGGTCTGATTGCACCTAATCTACGTCTACAACTACAAGAGTAGTAGATGTTCTCTTGTGCATGTACTACAAGAAGAAATAAAAACATGACTGGAAGCTTTTTCTTGCTATTTTTCATTTCAGCTCATAAAAAAGGGGGCATGCAAATAAGGGACCAACAAATGGTCTCAGCTGATGTAAAATGCAAATATAGTAGGATCTTCTTTTTAAGGATTTTTGGTTTCTCTGCAAAGGTCTTCCTCCTGGGCGGGGACTCAAACTTGTGATGGCCACGTCAAAGACTGAGGCAACAGATCCTCAGCCACCGCGGAGCCCAGAGAGGATTTTTATTTGTAATGTCTTGAAACCACTCAGCAAACATCCAGGCTATGTTTCCGTGAAAGCTCAGTCACAGGTTTCATGGCTGGCATTTACTACATAGTTAAAATAGAGCAGGACGTGAACCAACTAATTACTAAAATGACTGAGTTTGGTTCTTGGTTATAACCACACAAATAATTTGCAAAAAGAGGGCACAGACCTGAAAGAGCGCAACATCCTGTATGGCTTCCCCAAATCAGACACTCTCCTGCACAGAGGGGCTACAGCCATCTCCATCTGACACACAGATTCACACAGTAATAATGCAGCATGCACTATTACAGACAACACAGTTCAAAGGGCTTGGAATCTGGACTGGATTCTGAACTGTCCAAATCCCACATTTCAGCAGATCCTTGCCTGTGCAAAGTCAGCAGCCAGCCTCATTTTGCCTCCTTCCCCCAGTGGGCGCAGGAGGCTCGCATGGCGAAGGAACAGCTCAATGGCTCTCTGGGCGATGGACTCTGTGTTGTCATAGACGAAGTCCACACACTGGAAATGTTTGAAGTAGTCAGCCATTACTCTGGAGATGAAACCCTGCAGCTCCTTCATGTACAGGGAGCATGGAACGTCTGGCTTATCAGGGCTGGACAGAGGCCTGGAAAACACACACACACACACACACACAAAAACTGAATATTGAATATTAACATAAAACTGCATCATTTTTAGTTGAGAGAAGGACAACTTGGAATCTCAACAGTTGTGCAGACTGAGAGCTAATATAATCGTCTCTCTTTGAGGTGTCATTCAGAAAGGATCACAATGTGTCTCTTCTGATATTATGTGTTGGTGACAAAAGTTCAAAAAGAATGGTTGATGTTGACTAAATTTAATGTTAAGAGCAAACATCAAAACATGATTTCGTAAAAGCTCCGTTACAAAATCAGGAAAACTATTTCCTACATAAGGAAGAAGCTCATTTCAACCCAACCACCTCACTGGGTTCAAATAGAAGTTTGTGCCTCTAGATAAAAGTGGAGGCCAGACATACTTTAACTTGCATCTGGCCTCCATGAAATACAGCATGAAAAACAAAACAACTTCAAACTATGTGTAACTTCTGCTTGGAATGTTTCAAAGATCCAACCAGAACACACTCAGCCTGGGAGATCGTCTCCCATCTTTCTTATTTCACAGAGGAACAAAAAGAAAGTAAATGTCTCACCCTGAGAAGTCTTCTTGGTGAAGTGTGATGATGATGGCCTCAATAGAGTCGCTCACAGACTGTAGCAGAGGCTGCACTGCGCTGCTCATCAGGGCCTGAACTCCCTGAGGTCAAATCAGGTAAACAGTTGTTATTATGCAGTATTCAGCCACGCCCCTAACACCTCCCAAACTCCAATGGACTGACTACTGACCAGCTCTCCGACTAACGGGTCCAAAAAGCCTCTAATTCCTGAGTATTACCACAGATACAAATGTAGAGGACATTTTGTTTAAGCTGGGCGCGAGAAAGATGCGTCTAGACTCTAACTACCTTCAGATCCAGACGTTATGACCCGCTTCAGTTCATGAATCAGACATCGGAGTAGCCCGCCGATGCCCGACAGCATAAACCACACCTGTTAACGGTAGCTCTTTCTCTATTAATAACGTGCACTTGTTACAGCTTAGATAATTTTAGAGACCTGGACTGAGACCCAGGGTCATTATTTATCATAACTAAAGAAACGTCTGAAGCCCTCCTAATTTACTAGGATCATGAACATTGACTTTACATTAACCAGATGATTTAGTTTTTTAGCTGACTTAATTCATTTAACTATCCACAGCATCAATTTAGACTTTAATATTTTATTAGCAAGGCAATTTTGCAAGGGTCAGTGCAGCTTCAATCAGTAGCAGAAATAATCAAATAAGTAAAATCAATAATCTAGCCCATCTTTTGCTGACACTGTGAACTAAAAAAGAGAAACTTTGAGAGAGACAAACGGAGTTTGGCATCTTGAACCCCAGAACTGGCCTGATGATTAGAAAGGTGTTGCAGCAGCAGAAGGCGGCTCCCAGTACAGGAAGAGTACTGACTTAGAGCGGCAGGTCTCGGCCTCAGGGTGACTTCCTCATGCGCGTAGCGGTCCTCAGCTTCTTGTCTTGCAGCTCTGTAGCTCCTTTCTCCTCGTTTCACGATCTTTCTGGTCCATCGAGAGATAGACGAGCAGGTCTCATGGAAGGAACGCACCCGTTCATCTTTCCCTTGGTCTTTGTCTTTGTGGTCTGAACCCAGCTGATGAGAGAAGTGCAATTTGAAGCCACATGTTGCGGGGCTAACGGGTTGGTCCCCATG